TTTACTATTACTACTACTCAAAACAGAAGCCAAAAAACAATTTTGGGACCTATCTTACAGCTAGAATTCCAGCATACGATTTATCTTCTAAGATATGATGCTGCAGTCTGAGACTTCACCTTAAGAAGAGAATTATGAGAAAGCAGACACTACATGAAATTCATTTACTTTGAGGTTGTTAGTTGAGATCTTATGCTTTGAAGAACTTATATCTGCGCTCTACTGGTATAAATGGACAGGAAGATAATAGTGAGTGAATTCATTTTTCTCCTTCTTGACCTTTAGTAAAAACATCTCAGAATTGGCCACAATATGTGTTTTATAGCAAAAGCTACATTGTTGTTGTTAGGTGCTGTAGATTCAGCTCTGATTCTTAGCGATCCTATGCATAATTGAACAAAACACTGCCTAGTTTATGCACCACACTCACAATTGTTGCTATGGTTGAGCTGATTGTTACAGACACTATGTCAATCTATCTCCTTGAGTACATTCCTCATTTTCACTGACCCTCTACTTTTCCTTTTCCTAGGACTGGTTCCTCCTAATAACATGACCAAAGTACATTAGGTGAAGTCTCACAACCCTCGCCTCTAAGAGCATTCTGGCTGCATTTCTTCCAAGACAGAATTGTTTGTTCTTCTGGAAGTCCATGGTATATTCAATGTTCTTCACCAACACCAATATATAAATACATCATTTCTTCTGAGGTCTTCCTTTTCATTGTTCAACTCTTGTATGTATATGAGGCAATTGAAAATACCTTGACTTGGGTCAGGAGCACTTTTGTCCTCAGAGTAACATCTTTGTTCTTTAATACTCCAAAGAGGTCTTTTGCAGCAGATTTTCCCAATGTAATCTATTATTTGATTTCTTGAATGTTGTTTCCATGAGTATTGATTGAGGATCAGTGAAATTCTTGACCAGTTCAATCATGTTCCCATTTATCATGATGTTGTTTACTAGTCCAATTGTGAAAATTTTATTTTCCTTCTTGAGTTGCACAAAAAGGTTGTATTCTTTGTTTTTATCAGTAAGTAATTCAAGTCTTCTTTACTTTCAACAAGCAAAGGTGTGTTACTGCATAATGCAGGTTATTAATGAGCCTTCCTTAAATATTGATGCCATGTTCTTCTTCACATAATCCTTCTTCTCAGATTATTTGCTCAACATATAAATTGAGTAGGTATGGTGAAAGGATACAACCCTGACACACATACTTTCTTGATTTTAAGCCACACAGTATCCCTTTGTTCTGTTTAAACAACTAGCTCTTGCTCCATGTATAGGTTCTGCATGAATACAATTAAGTGTTCTTGAACTCCCATTCTTTGCAATGCTATCTATAGTTGATTATTATGATGCACACAGTTGAATGCCTTTTCATAGTCAATGTGATAATTAAGATTTTGTGTTATCTTGACTGTGACAGAATTCTCAGTGGTTTTGCAGTTAAGATCTAGCAATTCCCCATGATGAGATCTTCTGTGAGCAGCCAGTCAATTGAAAGAAAGTTTCATAAGGTGTGTGGCCTCTTCCAATAGATTGGACTTTTAGGCAAAGCTTGTTTGCTCTTTGTAGGGTCTGGATCTTGCATCTGGCCCATCCTCTGACCTCCGGTTCTTTAGACATAAGCCAGTGGCCAGCTGAATGACATCCCAAGCCTGGGAGCCATCAGCAGCCTGCCTTCTTACTTGCCAGACCTACCTACTTGCCATCTGACTTGCTGATCTTAGATCATCAGCCCTGCAGTGACATAAGTAAGCCTTCAGCTTCAATTTGACCCACATACTTGGGACTTGCTTATATCTGCAACTGTTTGAGTCATTTCCTTGATATAAACCTCTCTTTATAACAATATAAATGAATGCATAGATAGACACAAAAGCTGAACAAGAATGGGAAGGAGATTAGACTATACCCATGATTATATATAAGTTGGAAAGAGGGTATTTCTATGTTTATATTTCTATGAGGTGCTGTAAATGTATCTGTGTATATAGTAGAGCATTGTTGTTGTACAGGGAGCAAAATTATGAAAACTTCTGAACTATAACTAAACACCTTAAGAAAATGAGTTGTAGAGTCTAGGGTCTCAGGACCATAGTCTCAGGGGACACTAAGTTCAATTAGTATAACAGAGTCTACAGGGACAATGTTCTACAATCAATTTTAGTGAGTGATGGCTGGAATTGTAAAAGCTTGAAACTTCTGGGACAAGATAGCAGAGTAGGCAGATGCTCTGAGCAGACCCTATGCAATAAGAACACAGGAGACCAAGGGAAACAGATAAGGATGGTGCTCCTGGAATTCTGAGCTTCAGCGGTTAGGACAGAGAGGAATATTGAGTGTTGACAGGGAGAGGAAGCTGAGCAACAGTAACAAGAGAGAAGACATGCTGGGGCCCTGCCATCTTGATCTTGGTGAGTGACTGCCAATTAACATAGAGACCTGGAGGCATAGGGCATGCACTGGAGGTTGGCAATTATGGGAGTGAGATTCTCCCTTGTTCCTAACACCCTTAGGATGTTTGGGGAGATGGCCAGTCCCC